TTGAAAAAAAAAAAAAAAAAAAAAGCGTAGGCTTTCTTACTCCAATTTGCTATGGCATTTACCTTTTGTCATGCCTAGCTCTCTGAAGCACTTATCCGCCAGCCCAAGGGCCAAGTCCCACTAGCAGCGATGAGTTTCCTCAACACCCGAATCTGGACGTGTTTGTGGAGATGCGCGGTTGAGGAAACTCCACGTCATTTTCTGGACATATCCACAAACATGTCCACATTCAGACGTTCAGGAAACTCAATGCTGCTACCGGTAGTGAGACCCACCCAAAGTCTGGGATAGGCCCCAATCGGCGCAGTCGAAGGTTTTCAGTTTTAACTTTTTATGTATTTAACTTTTAAATGCGTTTCAGTCACTGTTTCGCGAATTTTGCTCCAAACCGAAGAAAATCGTGAATGTATCTAACCCAGCTTTACGGTCGGGTGGGGATGTGTTGTGTTCGAGGGATGTCTGAAGTGGACTTCGAACTGAAAGACTGAAAACGTGACCTCGCCGTAGTTATTACCCCAATAAGTAAATTACTATTCTTTCTTACTCCAAAGAAAGCATAGGGGATTAACCTGTTGTACTGTCCAGGTCTCCCAATATAGGGCGCTAACAAGGCCCTAATTGGCCCCCAATAGTCTCACAGAAGTAATTGCATGGCTCTTGTCTCTTTTTATAATACCTTGGTACGCTCGATCCAGGTCCCAGCAAATGATACTCCCTCCCCACCACCAAGAGAAAGGAGAGTATACTTTGCTATTTTTAGAATATTGTTTTATCCGATTAAAATGACAACGCCTCAATCCTGATGGATGGATCTCTTACCTCCTTCCAATACTTTTTATTTTCTATTTTGTTGTTCTTTTTTTTATTTTTATTTTTTTTGAGGTGTTCGCCTTGAGGTATCATCATCAAACTGACCCCCGCCAGATAATTTACGTATCGTCATCAAACTGACCTCTGCCAGATAATTTACGTATCGTCATCAAACAGACCTCAACCAAGTAATTAACAGTTATTCTAATCATGGAGGAATGAATTCACAGTTATTCTGTCCCAGCAAGACTCGATCTCAGGTCTGCTTCTCAACAGTTATTCTGCCCCAGCTAGTTGTCTAGGTGCACGATTCGGCCACCATGAAAGGATGCCAGGTAATTAGCAGTTATTCTATTCCAGCAGATTGGCAATTAACAGTTAGGCCACCGTGAAAGGATGCCAGGTAGCAAACAGTTATTCTATTTCAGCAGATTGGTAATTAACAGTTATTCTGTTCCAGCAGGAATCGAACTCAGGTCGGCTTATCAACAGTGAAGTTACATAAGTGGCAAATTCGTCCCACCCTGAACGATGCCAAGGCCTGGTCATGTCATCAGATTTCACTGAGAATCAAATTTTAGTTTCTTTAAAAAACTGCTTAGGACGACAGCCAAAGAGGCAGGGCGAGGGATAGCTTGCGAAAAAAAAAAAACAAATCGGTTTCTTGGCCCCCGAGAGAGAGAGAGAAACAAAAATAAAGAGACTCCAATAAAAAAAAAAAAAAAAAAAAAAAAAACATATCCATAGATACAGTGACAGGTTAGATAACCCTCTGCTTCTCTTCTAGCTGCTGGACTCTTATTTTTTTTTTCCAAGGGGGGGGGGGGAGGAATTTGAAATATGATCTACTGACTCTTCTCTTTTTCAGTTTTTCTTTGCTTGAGACTGAGTGCGGTTCCTATGAGATGAATCGAAGGTCGTCCAACTACCGTCCTCACCGGAATAGAAAGAGCCCGGCAACTATCGCTGTATCTAGACCGGAAGTTGCTCCAACTACCATTTTAATGACCGGGACGTCCTATTCGTGTGAACGTGGACGGTAGCCTGAAAGCATACTCACAGTAACTTTTTTTTTTTTTTTTTTGGGGGGGGGACCATTTCTCGATTTATGCGTGTCATCCTTGGAAGCGCAGGGGCCATTTTGCTAATTACCCTTCTCTGTATCGTTCCAATTTTAACAGATGTCCCGAAGGACACGGAAGCTTTTTCGTAACGTCTGGCATCAATTACTTCTATGGTCCCTCCCTCCGTCGCCCCCAGTGTTTGCACTTTCGGGCTATCCTGAATTCCAACCAATCTAGCTTAGGACCCTTAGTTGTCCCCACGTCTTGGATCTGCTGCCTGCTGTCTGCAGTCGGATGCAGCAAGATGCATATAACACTCTGCCTCTCTGCTTCTCTGCTGTTAGACTTCGGTATTTCACGTTGAAGACTTAACAGACAGAGACACATAGGGCTGTCGGGATAAAGCCTTGACACTAACAACGACCACATTCAATCAAACAAATACACGGCGAAGGAAAAACGATTCACATGATTTTATTTTAATTTTTTTCTTCTTTATTTTTTTGAGTTTTCAAGTTTCGCATTTTCCGACACTGCTATTACTATTTCCGGCGGTTCGGTTAATTGCATACGATGCTGGTGCAGGTGGTTTCCTTCTTTTTTTTTTTTTTTTTTTTTTTTGAAGGGGGGGGGGGTGTGGTTGTTGGGGAGGGGGAGGAGGGTGCAGACAGTTATATCTTCTTGTCGTCTTTTCTGAATGACCGAATCGTTCTCAACTGATTTCTTTTTCTTTTTTAAATCCCCTTTTTCCATGATTTTCTCTTGAGTCTGAATTTCAGCAGTTCATTGGGTGTCCCAACTGACCTAGGCCCGTTGGTGATATCGTCTTATATCTTTTTTCATTGACTGAGACTGTGTTATATCTTCTTATTGTCTTTTCCGAATGACCGAATCGTTCTCGACTGATTTCTTTTTCTTTCTTAAATCCCCTTTTTCCATTACTTTCTCTTGGGTCTGAATTTCAGCAGTTCATTGGATGTCCCAACTGACCTAGGCCCGTTGGTGTGTCGTCTTAATACGGTCTTATATCTTTTTTCATTGACTGAATCATTCATGCTCGACTTATTCGAAGCTACTTTTCTCTCTTTTGTCTTCTCTTTCGATTGACTTAGCCACTTTCCTGCGTAAGTGGGACCTGACCCCTGCTCAGGCATCCTGAGTACCCTACNCCCCCCCCCCCCGGTTAATTAAAAAGTTATAAAACATACATAAATAAAATAAGCTGCTTGTTTTGTTGTGGCTGCTGCGTCGACTCTTTTGGGTGAGTTGCAGAAAACAGCATCCTATAGGCTACTCACGGTATCCAGAATCAAGAAAACAGGTCCAAAAACAAAAGGGGGAAAAACAAATAGAACCACAAAGGTATGCTTGCTTTGCTTACCCATGCACCGTTTCGGTTCTTCTTCTGAGGACTATGCTGCAGCTCCACCTCCCTCTTCACTACATGCTCGTCGTCCTCGCCCTTTACAGAGGGGTCTCTTCGACCTAGTGACAGCCAAAACCCACAAACCCGCCAGCGCAACATGTTCAAGAAGCGATACTTTTTTTTTCACCCTTTTATAACTAGGCTACCGGAGTGGCCCGGGGCAAGTTGCCCGGCCGGGGGGGGGGGGGGGGGGGAATACATATTTATAATTTTAAATTTTACGTTTTATTTCTAGGCTACCAGCCGGGCCGCCCGGGTCCCGGGTGGCCAGCCCGTGCAAGGACCAGCAAAGGTCCAAGCAAAAAACAAAAAAAACGAAACAAAAACTATGTTATGCAGAAAAAAATAAATTGAACAACTTTTGCCTCAGGGCCACATCGTAATTCTTCACCACATTTAAAATAAAACAAAATTTATATATATATATATATATTTATTTATTTTTTTGGCCCGGCCGGCCAAGTGACCCCGGGCCGCTCTGGTAGACTAGTTTTACTTCAAATTTGGTAAAGAATTTCGATGTGACCCCGAGGCGAACGTTGTTCAGCATATTTTCGTGCATCACGTAGTTTTTTTCCCGATTTCTTTGGATTTTTTTTGGCTTCGTTTTTTTGCTGGGCCCTTCGCTGGTCTTCGCACGGCCGGGCATCCCGGACAAACATAGTGACCCGGGCGGCCTGGCTGGTAACCCAGTGGCAGGCCATCCCGGTTTCACAGAAGCAATACATTCTACTCCACCGGATAAGATAGACTCAAGAAGAAGCCATACCGGTTTCCAGCACTCGTAATAAATTTTGGTTTTCTCAGCCAGACAAGGATCATGAAGCCATGTGGCAGGCCTACAGCTCCAGTACTCCATTTTTTTTGGTGAAAAATAGATAAAAGAATCAAGACACCACGTGGCAGGCCTACATCCCGAGGGTCACCGACAAAATCGGAAGCTCGCTTACTCTTCTCTCAGTTGGGCGGCAAGAATCGCACAAGGAAACAAAAAAAAGCTCGCAAAAAACAAGGCTGGCAAGAAGGGAAAAAAACAAAAAAACAAAAGAAAGCTTGCAAGGACAGATGGCAACTATATAAGTATAATGACCGGGCGCCCGTAGATGGGATCGCGGCAGACGTCGGGGGTTTTACGCATATGCGTGGGTGTATGTCTTGTGCTCTCTCA